TTTTTTTTTCTATCTATTTTTGAGGCAGGGTCTTGCTGCGTAGTTAAGGCTGACCTCAAATTCAGCAGTTCTACCACCTGAGCCTCCTAAGTGTTGGAATTATAGGCATATACCACTATATCAGGCAGGTGTCCTTAATATTTCATTTCCTTCTACCACGTGTCAAATCTCTGTTAATGTTTAGTGCCTCTCTGTGCTTTTCTTGTTTTTCCCTATCAGTCTAGACTAGGATTTGTTAACTTTTTAAAAAATTTTTGTCAATGTATTCCTCTTCGTGTTTGCCAGTAGTAGTGGCAATGAAACCAAGGACTTTTATATAGGGCTACATCTGCAGTCTTGTTTTATTTTTTATTTGAGACAGGTTGGGCTAAGTTGCCCAAGCTGATTTCAGATGTTCTTTCCTACTCTTCCAAAGTGCTGGAATTACAGAAATGCGCCACTGTGCCCAGCTTTGAGTTTTTTATGTAATTCCATTTTTTTTTTAATCTACTTAGTTTGGGTTCTGAATGCTTTGGGTGGGCCACCACTTCTGGCTCTCCTAAATTTTATATATATCTTCCATTTCCTTGTATTAAACCAGTAAATCCCCTAAGTATTTCTATAATTATATCCCATAAATTTTAGTATCACTTAATTCAAAATATTTTCCTATTTCACTTGTGACTTCTTCTTTGACCTCTGGATTGTGTTAGCTTAATACTTAATTTTCAAATATTGGAAATTTTGCAGATACTGTTCTAGTACTGATTTTTAAAATGTTTGATTTATTTATTTATTGGTATCAGGAAGTGAACTCAGGACCTCGTGCTTGTTAGGCAGATGTTTGTGCCACTGAGCTATATCCCTGGCATATTACCGATTTCTAATTCCATTCTTTTTTCTTTTTTAAACTTTATTTTATTTATTTATTTATTTGTGTGGCCAGCTTAGCCCACCAGGGGGCGAGGCTGGCTGGCATGTGGTGCTGGGGGATTGAACCGTGGTCCCTGTGCTTTGCTAAGCTTGTTCTAAGTAGGTGCTTTAGACCACTGAGCCATCTCACCAGCCCCAATATTCTGTCTTGAAGTCTTAATTTTTTATATTATAGTCCTTTTTTGTAATGATTAGTGCTCACGAAGTTTATTTTTTCACCCCTTTGTCTCTTTTGAAGTGTGCCTCTTAATAACAGCATATGGGTAAATCTTATTTTTTATATATCCTGACAATCTTAGGCTTTTAATAGGAATGTTTATTTACATTTAATGTTGATAATGGTTAGGTTCTCCTTATTGTTTTTCCTTTTTATCCCTTTTTTGTTTTGTTCCTTTTTTCCTCCTTTTTTTTGAAAGATAGTTTCAGTATTTGTTATCTCATTGTGTTTTATTTGCAGTGTTTAAATACAAAATTCCAGGGTATGGTCACATTTTATTGCCTCTGCATGTCTAATAATTTTGACTCTATAAGGGACCTTGTGGATGACACATGGTTGAATAGGGTTTGTTGTCCTCAGAATGGGTTTCATGTTCATTACAGATCAATTTTATCCATCCAAGGTTATTTTAAAACTTTTGTAGAGGGCTGGTGAGATGGCTCAGTGGTCTAAAGCACCTACTTAAAACAAGCTTAGCAAAGCACAGGGACCGTGGTTCAATCCCCCAGCAGCACATGTCAGCCATCCCCACCCCCTGGTGGGCTAAGCTGGCCACACACACACACACACAATAATAAAATAAATTAAAAAAAAAAAAAAAACTTTTGTAGAGCAGACCTTGAATGCCTCTGTTTAAGACACAGTGAAGAAAAAAAAAAAAAAAAGACACAGTGGTTTGGTGCAGGGAGGTGGTGTCTGTTCAATTCCTGGTCTGGTAAGAAAGGCCTCAAAACTACTGATCAGGGCTGGGGAGATGGCTCAGTGGAATAAGCACTTCCCTGGCAAGCACAAAGGCCTGAGTTCAATCCCCAGATCCACTAAAAACAAAAACAAACAAACAAAAAAACTATTGATCATAGTTTCTGTCTCTGGCATTGTGCCATCTCCAGAATCTCTTCAGCTCCTAGTTTCTTAGTATTCACACACCTGAGGACTGCTCAGGTGGTATCTGCTATGTGATTATATGTAGATTCACTAGGGTTGTTCTGCCTTTTGATGATTTGATTGTACCATAGTAAGTAATGGTGACCCAACGTGATTATATTCTTCACATTAAAATTACTTCTGTTATTTTCTAAATTGTTCACAGAATAAGTTCGGTGCATAAAACTGGAAAATACTGTGCCTAACATTCTTAACGTACATGGGTCAAAATCATAACTTCAAGGACTGGTTTTTCCAAAATGTTTTTGCTGTATTTTGGAAGGAGTTACAGTATTGTAGACAGTCATTTACTGTCCATCTGTCACCCAGCTAACAATACTTAAGGGTTTTTATGTTGATTACCATGTGATTTTTTGGCATTTAAAAATACATATATTTGCTTATAACATAAAATTTCAGTGCACAATTTTGTGAATAGCAGTTACTATATATGCTCTCTGTAATTATCTTAAGAGTATGCAAGGACCTACCCTTTATTCCTAGCAGTCTGATATTGGGTGCTTGGCAAACACGGTCTTGCATCATCTCAAAAATTTAATAATTCTGTGAAGTGAATACAAGACCTGTTTTACTTAAGGAGTAAAATTTTCTGTTCCAGTTTCTTGCCTGTTCAGATTATTCAAATTATACATGTTACAAAGTAGCATACTTTTATTTGAAACCTTCCCATAACTCCCAAAGTCGATATTTTTTTCTACTATACCTTTTTTAAAAAAAATAAGATAACAGGGAAATATATAATATTTCAGTATAATACTTACTTTTTGTGTCTGAAACAGGTCTCTCCCATACACAAAATATATAGAACAGATAACTGAGGCATGAGTCATTTACTAGGAGTATATTTCTTGGCTAGGAAAGATTTTACTGCTGACATCTCATAGAAACATCTTTGTCAGCTATGCTTTACCTGTGATCTGAGCAGGTTTTATAAAATCCATAAGGACATGGACTTTTCTGCCTAGAAAAATGTATGCTTGCCTAAATGTAGGAAAGGAGCAGTAATTATAATTTCTCTTACATGTGTTTCTAAAAAGTTATTTTGCCTCTTAAATACTTTACTTACATTATGGTAGCAAAGAATAGTCAAGCATTGTGGTGCACATCAGTAATCCTAGTAACTGAGAATGCTAGAGTAGGAGTACCAGAAGTTTGAGATCAGCCTGGAAAGCTTAGCAAGATCCTATCTCAAAATTTAAAAAAGGGTTGAGGATGTGGCTGAGTGACAGTGTTTGCCTAGTATGCACAAGGTAGTATTCATATCCTAGTACTGTGCCCAACAAAAGTTTCATTTATAGCTTCCCATTTTTAAAATTTTCAACACATAAAATAATAATATGAACACCTGTTTCTATTAGTCAAAATTATCCCTGTTGATATTTATTATATTTTTATGATAGTTTTTTTTCCATCTCTAGAGGTTTTTTTTTGTTTGTTTTCCTTGTAGACATGGTCTCACTATGTAGTTTAATTTGGCTGCCTTCGAACTTACTATGTAGCCCAGGCTGGACTTGAACTTTGAACAGTCCTCCTGCCTCAGCCTCTAGAATGCTGAGATTACTGGTGTGTACCACCATATCCTGCCCAACATTATTATTTAAAACTTATTTTTGAAATGTATTATCATTTTTATTATTATTAATATATTTGGTTGTTACAGAGTCTCGTGGTGATCCTCCTCTGCTTTCAGCCTCCCCAGCTCTGAGAGCTGGTATTAGGGGCATGTGGCACCACGCCCCAGCCCATCCTGGGGGCAGGGCTGGTGCAGCATGTGGTACTGGAACCCTGTGCCTGCCTAAGGTTGCCTAAGCAAGCATTTTAGTCTACTGAGCTATCTCACCGGCCCCTAGAACTGTTTTAGATTTGTAAAGAAATTGGAAAGTAGCACAGTGCCTCATCTCTCTTCTCCCTCATTCCCACACTGCTTCCCCTGCTTACATCTCATGTTACAGTGGTATCTTTGTCACAATTATTAAATCAGCATTAATAATACCTGATAATTAGTTGAAGTCCATGCTGTAATCTGATTTCCTTGTTGTTTGTTGTTGTTGTTGTTGTTGTTGTTGTTGTTTTTGTTGTTTTTTCCTTCCTCCCTGTCCTTTCTGTCTTAGGAGCCCATTCAGGACAACCATACTGCCTTTAGTTTAGTTTAGGTTTTTGTTTTTCTTTTCTTTTTTTTTTTTTTTTTAAAGTTTCCCTATACTTCTCTTGGCTGTGACATTTTCTTAAAACTTTCCTTTGTTTTTAGTGACCTTGATGGTTTTGAGAACCACGCAGGTTAAATTATAGTTTCTCTTCTTTGGGGATTTGTCTTTTTCTAAGACTGAGGCTCTTGATATTTTAAAGG